TGTATTGGGAAAGTTTCTTGATGATTATGATTAGGAAGAATACTATGAACGGAGACTAAACCCGGTGAAAGATATGGTGTTTAAGTTTTTAAATTATAACTTTTTCGCAGACTTGTAAGGACTGTTAAGAAGTAACTGTAAAGTAAAAATTAAATGCACTTGTATCTAATATAAGTAAAATTATTATGGGTTGTGTGGTTATGTAGCATATTTCTCGATCAAATCCTGTTTCTTAAAGTTATTGAAAATATCTATTTATCGAAATAATTGAAAGTATTATTGAAAGCGAAAAATACCTACCTTTTCCAAACTTGTTTTTATAACAGAATAAGCGAAGATTAATTTTATAACTCAAAATAATTAACAGAAATAGACAATCACTTATTTTTTAAAAAAATCCTTGTATGATAATACTGACGCTGTCGCCAATATAATTATCAATTTATATTAAAAAAATAATTAACGTTATCTCTACCTCATCATAATCAATTCATCCATTGTATTCTACCTCCCAATTAACTTAATGCGATCCCTCCACCCACATCGACTCGCCCTCATCACACGCCAACTAATGTCACTGTCATTTGTCATCACCATCAGCACCACCAATATTGTCAATACCCCCCCCCCCACCAAAAAAAAAAAAAAAATCACCCCCAAAAAAAAAAAAAAAAAAAAAAAAAATATAATCAGCGGCCTATTCAACGACCGACCTTATAATGCGAAGTACATGTCGATAACCTCTTGCAATTCTGTGCAACATGGCGAAGGTGGCGCTGCGGTTGGCTGCTTGGCAACATGACAGTAAACACTCGAGGATTTCAGCGGTTGATTTCGTGGTGGAATGTACATATTTTTGTTGTTGTTTTTCTTGTATGTTTTATTATTATTGTTTGTTTGTTATTTATTATTATTATTATTATTATATTATCATTATTATCATTATCATTATCATTATCATCATTATCATTATCATTATCATTATCGTTATCGTTATCGTTATCATTATCATTATCATTATCATTATCATTATCATTATCATCATCATCATCATCATCATCATCATCATCATCATCATCATCATTATCATTATCATTATCATTATCATTATCATTATCATTATCATCATCATCATCATCATTATTATCATTATCATTATCATTATCGTTATCATCATCATTATCATTATCATCATCATCATTATCATTATTATTATTATCGGGGTCCTTATCTTCGTTTTAATCTTTGGTAGCATTTTTATTTTTATCATCGTCGTTATCATCATTTTCATAATCATCACTACCTTCATAATTTTCATCATGATCGTCATTTTCCTTATAATCATCATTATCATCATTATTCTCATGAGTTTCATCGCCATCATCAGCATAATCATTATCATCATCACAATCAATATCATCATTATTCTGATCAATATCATTGCCAGTATCAACATCAATCATCATTATTTTCATGATCACATCATCATCATCATACCATCACAAACCATCACCATCATTAACACCATCACCACCATAGTCACCATCATCAGAATCATCACCACCAATCACCATCACGAAAATGACAATGTATACGAAAGCATATATCGATTAATTATTACTCTTCAAACTACACCTAATACAACACATACACACAAACTTTCTCCACTACATATTTCTCGCACCTAAACGAACAAATAAATACACAACACACATTTCGCGAACTCAGCACATATTTCGCAAACACAATTTCGCATATTTCACAAAACATATTTCACAAACACGTATTTCACAAAAAATTCACAAACGCATAACAAATACATATTTTACAAACATATATTTTCATTTATTTCAAACAAATATTTCAAACAAAATTTCTATTTCTCTTTTACGATAGGCACAAAATATATATTTCACAAACAAAACAAACTATTTATAAACGGTTTTCACAAACATATATTTTACAAACACATATTTTCAATTTATTTTCACAAACATTTCAAACCATAAAATTTCCTATTTCCAAAACAATTTCACAAACATATTTTCACCAATGTTTCAAAACACATATTTTTGTCACAAACATATATTTCACAGGCATGTTTCATAAACACATATTTTTCACAACACATATGCAAAATGCACATTTCGCAAACAAATATTAAACAAACATATATTTCACAAACACATATTTTTACAAAACATACATTTCACAAACATATATTTCACAGGCATATTTCATAAACATATATTTCACAATCATATATTTCACAAATATATATTTCACAAGCACATATTTCACAAACATACATTTCACAAACACATATTTTCAACACCCACCCACGCATACATACATCATTTCCTCGCATTCCCCTCGACTAAATCACGAAAAAAAAAAAAAAAAAACCTGCGCCATTAACGGGAATCGAGCGCGTTCGTTTGGCTAGATAGCGATGGCAACGCAAAAAAGGCGGGAAAATTTACGAGCCAGATTCCGGCGATTCGGACAAAGGGCAAAACCCCCACGTCCGTTCTGTCGCCGAGAAACGCTCGGTTTGTTTACGTGGTGTTCATGCGATTTAAAAGTCGGTTAAGATTCGTTTTGCGGTTGAGTTCGAGTCCGTGAGTTAGCGGTCGTTTTAATTCGGGGGATTTGAGTTTATACGGGAAGCGTTTTGTTGTTGTTGTTTTTTTATGATCATTATCATTATTACTAATATAATTATCATTATTACTTTTGTCGTCATTTTTATCATTATTATAATTATTATTTGTTTATTATCATTATTACAACCATTGTCATCATTATCATCATCGTTAGTAGTAGTATTAATTTTTTACCATTATTATCATCATTGTTATCATTATTATCATTATTACGATCATCACTGTTATCATTATCAGTATTGTTTTCCTTATTATAATCATTATCATTAACAATGTAAAAAAAAAAAAAAGCTAAATTCACCGGAAAATAAATCCAAGTATTTAACAAAGCCCTAATTTTTTTTAATCAGTTATTAATTTGCAAGG